AATGACTTTTTTTTATTGCTCAACCTTTTACCTACTATGTATAACCATCATAATAATTATTAATCGTATCAGTCATTATCCTATCATATCTATCTACCGGTACTGGATTCATAGATTCAATCAGGTATTGGGCTTAACGCCACCTAACCCCTTCACCTTAGTTTTATCAAACTAAAGTTTCATAAAATCTAATCAGTACCTCAATCTGACCTATTAGTCCAATCGCCCTTCAACCTAACATCAATGATATAATAAGTTAGGCTGCTTACACTAGTGGCATATGTAATTATTTCACTTTTCCTTCTAGTAAAAAACTACTAAATTTTGTTTGGAAACTTAACTACTTAATTTAATGACAGTATTTTTATTTAAAACTGACACTTCTTACATAAAATATAAAAATATATATCATATATTGTGATAATTCTTACATTTTATCTGTAAAACTTTTTCACAAAGAATAATGAGAAAAGAGTATTTAAATTACATTTCATTTGATTCTTAAACGAGGTGAAACTAAATATATATATATATATATATATATATATATATATATATATATATATATATATATAATTTACAAAACTTTATATATTTTTGCCTCTTCTTTTAAAATTTTCTTTTCATCTCTCTATTTTTTCCCTCCTAAATACACAAAAATGAGAAATGTATACATTTATCAGAATTCACAGTTGATAAAAATCTCCCGTGTAAAGCGTGAACTTGTTTATAAAAAATGAGAATTAACTAATGTATTACGCCAAAACAATCATGTTTGTCATCAATGATTTAAAATGAAAAGAATGGTGCTGACCTCTGATAAAGTGCAACTTGCCATTCCAATAAATTCTTGATCTCGCAATTTAAGTGTCTGCAAGAACAACAGATGAAACTTTTTCTTGGTTTTCACATATAAACTTCACAAGTCATAGGCTAGAGAAAGTAAGAACATAAATTTGGAATGCATAAAGCTCGTATCTGAACATTCTATGTCTCGCTTCATTTTACTTCACACCACATTAATAAGTTGACATCCCCTTCCCCTCTCATTATGCATTTTAATATAGGATTCTACCATGACTTAAATCAAGTTTATATAAAGTAGAAGGGAGCTGAACAGGTCGAATTTTCAAATTTAACCAACGCTAGTACTCCTTTTAGCTAAATAACTAAATTAATATTTATTCATATATAAGTATTATCTAAATTATTTATATAATTGAAAATAAATAAGACAAAATTATTTTCTTACAAGGTACTAAACTGTTTTAATGACCTTCTTTAAAAGAGATCCTAATAAAACAAATTAAAAACAACCTACAGGCATATCACAGATAATTTTTGTAAATCCTCTAAAACACTTATAAATGCTTAAATTCCTGGTCACGAAAAATGGTCAGTTATCTCCAATGAAATAGTTGGCTTTTTGCAATCTACATTCTAACATTTTTATTTTGTAAAACACTGGATAGAGTAATTGACAGATTTACAATTTACAAATTATAACATACAAAATTTAAAAGATAACTTCGAAGGCTTTTGGTTTTATATTCAATCTAGCCAATTACGTTAGCTTGCCTATTCTTAACTAATCATAAAGGGGTTTAATTTAAGAGGGCAGAGTTATTATGTTTTACAAACCTTAGCGGGAACGCCATAATATTTAGTGTCGATGTCATACACATGAAATCTGAATGAAAAGTACAATGAGAGAAAGGGAATTATAAGTTATCATTGCAATACATTGTGGGTGCAAAGACAGATATGAAGGATAGCTTACTCAAGTGGTTGCACAATTTCGAATTGAAACGCAACACTGATTTTCTCTATCCACTCTGGATTCAAACAATTCATAATTACTTCAGTGCGACCTAATTCTTCCAATTGACCATCTCTTTTCTTTGTAAATACCACAACCATGGGATCACTCTGAAATAAAATAAGAAAAACATAAGCTAAATTATACTCAAAGGCCTATTTTGAACAATGTACAAGTACCATAAATACTTGGTATTCACACCTAGGCTCCGCCACCGGCAAATATTTTTCAGTTTACAAAAAAAAAATGATTTTGTAAATAAAGTCGTCAGTCAAGACATTTACAGGAATTTGAGGAGGAACAATACGAACAATATTTTACATTCTAGTTTGTAAACAAAATAACTTCAAATCATGGCATGGTTAGCATAATTTGATTGTTCAGAACTGTTATCGGTTTGCATAGCATATCAAACTGCAATGATATATAGATTAAGGTAAATGGAAAAGTATTTCACCAAGAAAAAAGAACACCAAGTCACATAAATAAGCATGAAACATCGAGATATTAAAGAAAATGACAACCCTTTCGAATTTTTGAAGTCTATTTTGCACCGTTATCTAAAAGAAAATATACCTTTGAGGTAATGTCCCGATCAAGTAAGTTGGAAGCTGAAAGAGATAACTGCATAAAATTAATATTACAGTGAGACTATAAACATTTGTCCAGTGTTCCAACAATAATAAAAAACAGCAGATTTAAAGAACCAAAAGAAAAAGGACAGCAAATAAATTAGAAAACAAACAATCGTAAAATACTTAAAAATGTTTTATCATGTAAGAAAAATAAATAAATAAATTATTCATTTTGGTGGACGGGTTTAGTCAAAGCTATCAAGGCTGGGTATTTTTTCTAGAGCTTATGTTTATAGAAAACTAAAGTCTGACCCCATGAAATGTGTTGGTTTCTTTGGAGGAAATTCACCATTACTGAAATATAAACCATTGCAAATGAATAACATCAATTTCAACTCAAAATGGTAATGAGTTTGTGGAAATTTTCTTCTCAAATATTCTTTTTCTATTTTTTATATTCATTAACTCTTCTTAATTGTGAGTCACTTTCACATTTATATACACTCTCAATATTTTTTTTTTCACGGATAAGTTATCAGGAATAGATTTTGTACGAAGAAGTCGAATCACAACTACTAAATCCAGATTTGTTAGTCTTTTCTTTTTATATATTGACTTTTTTTTTACTTAATATAAAACTTTCAATTCATTTTATGATTTTTGGAGACAGAGATTTTATTTTTACTTAATATAGAACTTACAATTATCTTTCGAAAAAAGAAATAGAGAAATTGTTAAAAAAATGAGCGAACTTATATAATCCACTAGTGCAAAATGAGTCATTTACATTACTAATCTAACATATGACCACAAAACACATTACGGTAGTAATTGTCATAATTTTGATAATGTCCCACGTATATAATATCTAATGTGATAGAACGGACAATAATATCATCTTTAACTCAAAATTTCGACACAATAAATTTTTTATACAAACTAAAATATATAAATTTTAATAATTTTAATAAATATTTGACAATTTAGATATTTGAAATGTTAAACCAATAAATGCTCTTATATTTGAATTTCAGTTGGCATTCTAAAATATAATAATCTAAGCAAATATACAACAAGAGGCAAAAAAATTACTTCCATTTGAATATTTTTCAATGTAATTTCAAACTTATAAGGACAACAATCATTCTTCATTTCGTTTTAAGATCTTCATGAAAGATATAAAAAAAAATTAAATTAAAATTTTTACCATTGTTTTTTGAATTCATTCGGTAGAATGAAAATAAATGATGAAAAATAAAAATATGTAAAAGATGAAGTGAAAATTAAGAATTTTTGTTTAAGAAAAAAAAACTAGAAAAAAAAAGAGAAAAATAACCTTTAACATATCTTTTCTTTATTCCCATCACAGATGTTTCCACTCTCTCCATCTTATTTCCATCCAACTAAACCTTTATTTCCCTCCCTCCCTCTCTAGACCTAAAATCCACACACACACACACACACACACACACACACACACACACACACACACACATATATATATATATATATATACTTTAAATTCCAAACACACAGTGACTGATTTCCTAAAATTATAATTGACTAGAAATTAACAGATGATAACTTTATGCATCTACAATCAACTTGTTTTATTTTATTTTCATCTTAGTAGAGATCTTTCTTTACCCCAATTGGTCACCGGAGAGGACCCAAATGTCTGAACGCATCAAACTCACCTTCGACGCCATTGAAGAACTAACTACAAATGAAGAAAGTTGAACAATATTCACAGCATTGTTGGGATCAAACTTTACTAATCTCCTTCTCATGACCAATCTTGATCATATAAGTTTTCTTCTCTTACTATCCAATGTTGTAATAATTGATAAAAATCAACAATCATTAATTCCATAAAATTTGGATCCTTATGTTTCTTTATCAATCATCAATTCTTCAACCATCAACTGAATAAACCTGCGTTGCAATATAGAGACAATCAATGAGTTAAATCCTATTCCTAGAGTCATGTTCATTTAGTGGTTTATTTTCAATCGAGATCAATAGATTAATTTCCAATCAATCCTAAGACTACTACTGCAGCAGATGATATATATCAAAATAAGACTGTGATTGATTATATTTGATCCCAACCAAAAAATGGCTACTGCCACTATATTTTTGCACTTTGGATAGAAATTTTTATATGCTTAAACATCCTTCCTGTTCCTTCTTTTTTGGCTTTTCCTTGGCCTTTGGAACCCTTGAGTTACCAGTTCCTTTGTATTTTTTCTTACTGTTGTACTATAGGGCAGATGGCTACCACTAAATATGAATGGTGTTCGTAATTTCCATTTCCACAATACTAAGTTCTATCCATTTCCTTAGCGTACAGAGTGATTGGATGGCCCTGCTGCATTCCAGTTTCTTTTTTTATCTTTTATCATCTCTTCCCTCTCACTTTTCTTTGTCTTGTTTTAGAAGATAACTTAACTTCATTCTTGTTGTATCTTTACCACAGGTAGCCAAATCGTGTCAAATTGTAGGATTCTAATTGTGAATTTACAATTCTAATAACTATGTTGTGTATCTATTTTCTGTTTCATTAATTTTATTTGTATTCTGAAAAGAAAACTTCCGTTCCCGACATGGTACTTAACTATTTCTTTACCAATTCACTGTTTCATTATCAATTTAGTCTTGAACTTTTCAAAACATTGTCAGGATGTGTTTTTTAATGTGCTATTTTGCAATCTTTAAATGCTATTCAATCTGTTTCCTCCCCTCCAATGAGATGTAGTATAGATAACTAGAAAATCTTAGTAATAATCATTAGTCACCGATTTCAACTTTACCTTCGATTTGCAATAGGTTATACATTCTTCATCTCTGCTTCAATTTGTAGTTGTGATTCTTTTACATCTTGTAGGCATTTCCTTATATGCTTGTATGGAACAGTTGCCATTGGCTTGGTTCTTGCTGGAAGACTAAGAGAATTAAGAGTTGTTGATATTCTAACCGGTAATATATATTTGCAACTAATACCATCCTCGGATTAAGTTTTTTGTTTTTACTAACTTTGATACTTCTCTATGCTTGTCATAACCAAGCAGTTTATTATGGAATAGAAAATTCTTTTCTGGATTTAGCTCCTAATATTGTGCAGGTGAGGGATTTGTTTTGTCTGTACATGCTGATTATGTTTTCTATTTTGATTCCCTGTTTTCCATTTAAATGGTTAGTGATATTTTGTTATCATACAGTGGTTGTTGGGTTCTTACAACACTCAGATACTTCTTATGGTGTTCCTTGCAATCATTGGGATGCTGTTAGCTGGTTTCTTTGGTTACCATACAAAGCTTTGCATTACCAATACTACCACTAATGAGGTACCTTATACCTAACCTTCAAATGTATTTAGTAATTTTTAGTAAATTATAAGGAGCCAGGTCGTGTCAAGGAATTCTTTATCTTTTTTTTTCTTATTTGATAATAAAAATTCTCATAAAGGGAGGGATCAGAATGCTACGCATTTAAATAATTGAATTAGAGATGTAGAGTATGGATACCTTGTGTACATTCCCATTAAGTTAGAAGAAAATGCTCTACATAATATCTAATTTGAAGTTTACATGATCGCTGGATAGTAAAATAACTGATGTGGTATGATGATCTAGAACAAGTTTGCATCTGGACAAACTGACAGCGTTGTTAGAGGTTCAGTTTTCATAAAATTCTTTTGAAACAAATTGATCATTAGGTAGCACTAGAACAAACCACTTTTTGTTTGATTGTCTTGTTGGCTCTATTTGATCTTTGTAATGCCTGCTTGTTTATCTTCCTGAGACTGATATTTTATAATCTACCACCTTTTGGTGAAAGGAATGCTGGTGAATATATTACTTTTGATAAATTTATTTTTTGTTCTGTGAGTGTTTGTTTCCAATGCCGGAGTCCTTCTGGTACCACCGTTTCCTTCCCTACAAAAGCAGTCCTTCCAATGTGGGATTAATCTCCTTAATGTGGTCTGATATTTAAGTCAGTTAAGTTGGTGAGTGAGCTATGCGTGGGTTCAATCTCCTGCAAGTGCTCTGTCACTTTCCCATTCCCTTACCCCTCTTCCCCTCCCCCTTGTAAGATGTATTATAAATCTCCCTTGGACTTAAAAAACGCAGTAGCAAAATCGTTGCACTGACAACCCTACACAAATTGGACGGTTGCTTCATCATCTGAAATTAAAAAAGAAAAAAAAGATCTAGGTCTGGCTGCTTAAATTTCAACTTACAGTTATTACTGGTTTGGGAATGCAGAAATTGTTCACAAGTACAATTGCTCTATATTGTTTATCACTGTTCAATTCTTGTGTCCTATTTAGCCAGAAAACTGTATGCTTATGAGAGATGCTAATGCTCCCCTAATGCTCAATGAAACTAAAGGTTTCTATGTGGATCTCAGACTTTTAAGTGGCAAGACTACATTGAGTGGCAAAGGAAGCTAAGAGAAGCAAAGGTGAGCGCTGAAGCCCTAAAGCAAAGTATCGATGGAATTCACAGTGAAAAACAGCCCTCATCGAGCAAATGGAGAGCCTTTTTTAAAAAATCACCTCTAGAAGATGTGGTAGTTGTTAAGAATAACGTTTACGATAAAGGCTTCTTCCACAATATTCAGGAGGTTATTTCCCCTTTCTCTGCAAGGTGGTCCTTTACACAAAACAAATTGAAGTCCAGATGAGTATGATTATAACTGACGTGTCTTTGAAGAGCTTTGTGGGCTAGTTGCACATATATTGAGTGGATAGTATGTCCATTTATTTAGATTACCCAATAAATATTTTGAAAACCAGAAATGTTATATTAAATGCAGTTATCTGTTAGAGTTCTAGACTAGGTGTAGACTGAATTGATTGGCTGTACTTGATAACCCTGCTGCTTTTTTGGTTGTGTTGTACTATTTGTTTCTAGTAAAAGCAGAAAGATATCTGTGTACTCTCTTGCATATTTTTTTGGTTTAATGTCTCTGTAGGTCTCTATTTTCGGCGTGAATTTCAAATATGGAGGTCCCTTTTCTTTTCGGTGTCTCATTGGGGTTCTTTTTGTGTAAAATTGGAGCAATTAGGGGTCTGCCGTCAAATTAACCAAACAGCCGTTTTAAAGTTGCTACGTGTTATTAAAAATGATTTGAATTAATTTTTGTATTAAAAATGGATTTGTTCTTCGAGGGCCACAAAAGGCAAACTGGGGCAACCTTTTTCTTTCTTTTCTTCTTTCTTCTTCGATTGGAAGCGCGTTCTTCTTTTCTTCGAATCCAGCCACCACGCCATCTCTTGCACTCCTCCCCAGCCCAGAACCCGATGAAGGGGCGTCTTCCCTGCTTGCCGCGCAACCGGCCACCGCGCCACACTTCCCTATCGTCCCTCTCCCTTTGAAATCGGCAACCCTAGGGAGGGGTTCCGTCCCGTCCCTCGGCGTCACGCCACAGGCCGCCGCGTCCTGGAGGCCATCACCACTGCTTCCAGCCACCACTGCGCGCACACTGCCGCTTCTGCCAGACCGACCACTGCTTGTGCCGCCGGAGCCCTCGTCAGCCCGAGCAGAGTCCGCCAGCGCTTTCTCCGATCCCTCTCTGTGCCACGCCGATGCCGCCCTCTATGAGGCCATACACCGCGATTCCGTGAGCCAAGGTCGTGCAGTGAATGCAATTCCCCGCCACCGTCGCCGCCGTGGCACTCCTCTTCTCCGACGTTCTCTTCTTGCTGGCAAGGATGAACTTCTCTCCTTATCCTCCCCTTCATTTTTCACACGACACTCTGCCATTATTAGCTCCGACAATTTGCCGTCCTTTCGCTAAATTTGCTGTCGACATTGTTCCATATCTATTTTTCTGTTTTGGTGTTGGGGGTGTTGGATTAATGTATGTGATGGGAAACATGGTTGAGGTTAGGACCGAGTGAGTTCCTCTCGTTTTTTCAGGTGTGGAACAATGATGGAGGATAGAATGAAAGATGAATTGATACTGAAGAGATTTTTTTCTGTGCGGAGTGAGAAATGGCTGTTGTGAGAATAGAGATGAAACAGTGTGAAAGATTAGTATCCATATTTTTTTCTGTCTCTGTGGCTTTGGGGTTTTTGATAGTGGAAGATGAAGTGAAGGTTGGTGGGAGAATGAGTCTGTGGATGCGCGTGCCTGGAGGAATCGTTTGTCTGAGAATGAGGTTCTGTGTTGACGTGCCTTTTTTGCCCTTTGAAGACAAAGCATTTTTTAATATAAAAATTAATTCAAATCAATTTTTTAATAACACGTAGGCAAACTTAAACGGCCGTTTGTTGTAATTTGACGGCCGCCTCTAATTGCTCAAGTTTACAACAAAAAGAACTCAATTGAGACGCCGAAAAGAAAGGGACCTATTTGAAATTCACGCCGAAATAGGGACTTACTGAGACATTAAACCAATTTTTTTTTTGTGACACTGCTCTTTGTTAATTTATATTGGCTGTAAAACTCATCGTGGACGAAATCTAAACTAAAGCCGAACTTTCTTTTCTGCGAACGGGTTGAAAACCTGTTTTAAATTCAATAATTGACTTTAATTTTTTTTCAGTATATTTGATCTTACTTGATCATAAAAAAATTCTAATATTAGCGGTTTTAAACATATTCAATAAACAATTCTATATTAGCGGTTGCCTCTCTTCTCATCTCTATATAATATATATATATGTATGTAAATATTCTTACAATTTGATATTATTGTTTTGCACTATCAGTAGTAGCAATCAATAGAAATTGGTCTGTAAACCTGAAAACAGAACCGTCCGCTGTAGAAGGTAGATAGGGAATCTCCATTACAGTATGAAATTGATGCAATAAGTGATGGATAGTCTAAATAGATCATTGGTCGTCAAAAGACAAGGAGTGGATAACCCAGGAGGATATATTTCACTATTGATACTAAGATACACTCTTCTTCTCCCTCCTAAAAATTCTAAAATGCATGGTGGAAGTTGATGCATGAGGCTTGATGTTCCCTGCTTTCGCTTAAATAGATTTGAGGAGAGTGATTGAAAATGATTTGAGAGGATTTAAAGGTAAATTTTTGTTGTTTATTTGAATGAATTTTGGAAGTAAGCGAGACTGGATTTGGAAGTAAAATGTGTGAGAATTAGTGTAGATTGATTGATGTGACACATTAAAAAAAATTACTTCCAAATCTACTCTCACTTATCTCCAAAATTCACTCAAATATACAACAAAAAATTTATCTTCAAATTCACTCAAGTGAACAAGAGTTAAAGTACAAAAATTGTTCATTCCAGAAGAGTTTGCGCCGCTGATATCTGCCCACCTGCCAAAAACTCATGAGTTAGATGATATAAAGTCATGAGAGATAAATAAATAGATGAGTTTTTGGTTTTATGGTCCATTTGTTTTTCCGTGGTTTCTTCCTGCACCTCCAATTTTTCTTTCTGCACCTCCAAGTTTCATGGTGTAGACAACAATTTCATCACGTTATAAGAGGTTCAACGAACTTAGTGTGAAGGGAAAGTAGGGTCCGAGACTAGAGACAGAACAAAAAATTCTCGAAACGTCACGTTCTTTCTTCGACCATAAAAATAAGAACAAATACCTTGTGGGTGGTCGTAATGAGTAAAACTATTGCATGGTGGATGTGGATGCTTGAGGAATGAGAAGGGCTGTGGCTGAGGCTTGACGTCTCTGCTTTCGCATGAAAGACAAAAATTGTTCAGGTAGTTCTTCCAAAAGAGCTTGCACAACAGATACTTGCCCACCTGTTAAAATACCATGAAACTCTTAAACAAATATAAGAAGAGAACTTAAGATGCAGAGTCTAATCGAGCAAGAGAATGTAGGTGTAAACATATTTGTTTTGATATATCTACTGTCAAAAGGCAAAACAATAACTGAGAGCATGGTACTTACTCTGTACTTCCCTCATAGAGACAAACTTGTACTATATCCGTGTAGCTCACAGACCAGTAGAACTCTCTAATCGACGCCCATTATCAGCATCCAGCACCTGCAGACAAACAAGTGTATCTACTCATTCTTCAGCAAAAAGCATTGGCGTGCTACTGAATAATTAAAGGGTATAAGGAAAACACTTGGACATAGGATTTGTAGTAAACCTCCATGCTTGGTGAAGTCAGCATTTCCAACTCCAACTATGAGAATAGATAGGGGAAGATCAGATGCTTTAACAGAGCGTTTATTGTTTCTTGAAATCAGTGACAACTCCATCCTGTAAGAACATGAACCACTTCGATCTGATTATTCATGCTCATCAAATAGAAAATAGCATCACCAATTCGTTATCTTCTTACCGTGATGATAAGCAATCACATAATACATAGTGTTTTGTGTGATGTGAGGGACTGCCCAGCTATTTGGGCTGCCGTGTTGATAACTGGACCAAACAAAGTGGGTCCTGACAGAGTGACACTGCGCAAAGCACTGCCATAAGCATCCATTATGCCTTCAACTCCTACAACCTAAACACAAAAAAGGAAAGTTATGTTAATCTGATGAGAACACCAACAATGCTAGTTGCTGTGGCACGGGACGACATAAAATAACTGCAAATAATAACAATGTTTTATCTGAAAAAATAATAAAAAGAGAAGAGAGGGAAGAATTTCTAACCTCAGAGCCACCTGGGCTCCACGTTTAGATTAAAACAGTGGGATAGGTCCACCGGATCTTCCCTCCAAAGCCCCAAGCAGGAAATCGCTTATCAGAATCATAAAACTGAATAACTTCTCCAACCTCCATTATAGCCTACAAACAATAGTCCATGCTGGTCTAGACAAAACAATGATTCAGATAATCCCAGCCCTATTATTGAAGTTGTTCAATGCCATATATAAGAGAAGTAAATTACGTTTCAATTTTACCATAATACATGCTTTATAAGCTGAAAACGAGGTCGATCTATTGTACCTTTTGGTATGAATTTAACCGACCATGTGGATCAATGTAATGCAGGAATCTGAAAGTTGAGGATTTCCATTTGAAGCTGGACAAATTTTGAAGCGCTTAATAAACTATAGAGATCAAATTCATATTCATCTTTGGGAGTAGAAGAACAATGGTTACTTACCAGTGAAATCTACAGCAACCATGAAGTTCAGTTCAAAACCATTAGATATGTAGTCGATAAAACTGAACCGCTCCTTTTCACATACTGATCCACAAACAGTTGACCCTTCAAAACCTAAAAGAAAGAAATTGTAAAAAGTGAGAGATTGAGTAAAGGAGTAGTGATAAATAAGTATTCTTTTGCATGGATCAATACACACCTTCTCTTTTATGTGGCTTTTGGATGATATGACAAAATTTGCGCCCGTACGCTCTTTATATAATTTTTCAAGGTCCGCTACCGACTTCTGCATTTGCTGATTCAATATATTTTGACATCAATATGTTTTGCATTCATGAACTAGAAAAGTAACGGCCCCACAGAAATAAGTTAAAAGTAAGATTTTGATCAGTATACTTGAACATTTTTTAATGTAATCTTTATATTTAAAAGTTCTACGTTTTGGTTGTAATACTGTTAGTTTTATGACAATGTAAAAATTCAAAACATTAATAGAAATATTTAAGAAAATAATGAATAATAAAATAAAAGGATAGTATAGATAAAAAAATAATTTATAATAGTTGCATTATTTACCCAATAAGTACATGATCGCCGCTGCTATTGAAATCAAAACACTCTATCAATAATGGATTTTCCTGCACAGAAGTAAAAAAGTTTGAAAGCTGGATAAATAAAAAGTTATCAGAATGTTAAATTGACATAACTTCAAATGTTAAGCCCAAATAATGGCTGGCTTACTTTACTTCCAAACTTGTGACTCACCAAGACAAACTGGTCTCCATTTTGGATTTAATTGTCGTTGATAACTTCAGTTTTGCAGATAGGAATATAACCTCCACTCTCGACCATTCTTGATATTCTTAGAAAAGGGTC